TTTTCAAGATTGCACAGGAAAACAAAATTAATTTGCATATTATGGACATCTTTTATGGAGATTTTAGCAAACAAAAAAGTATGATTCTTGAATTTCAATACTAAAAAAGGGACAACAAATAATAAAGAGCATATGAATCATAGCTTTAGTCTCTTACCCCTATTTAAGATAGAGCTTCTTTCAGTAGAAGCTAAGTGGTTAAAAGCTCATTTTGATTTTCTGCCATAAGAAATGTTCAGTGCCATGGAAGTCTGGAATGAGAGCTCCTACAACTGCTCTTCAGCAGAGAGAAGAACTAGGCAGAGTGACAACAATCTACCACAAAAGCCAAGAATGTACTGAAAAAAATCAATCCGCTTCTGCATTAAATTTGCCTCATAGCAGCATATACTGACAAAAGCAATATTGATTGTAAAAGCAAGCAACATTCAATGTTTATTGTAAGAACAGGCTAAAGTCAAAATCTCTATATATTAGTGCAAGACCAAGAAGTTCAAAACACTTCCAATCTTCATTCTAACAATTTTAGGAATTTACTTTCAGGTCTTACACTACAAATTCATCAACATGTTTTGCTTTAACTGGCAGACTGAGCAAAGAGGCCAAAATCTTCCCTGGCTGACAGCTAATTAAACTACAGTTTTTATGCTCAAGGAAGTTCTGCTCAGATCAGGGCTGAGATACACTAGAACAGCACATGTGGACAGTTTCTGTGGTTGCCCTACAGATAAACAAAAGTCCATCTAAATCCAATACCTTCCTGGCAAATGAAACTCCACAACATTTTTTAATATAAGACCTCTATCACTTATGTAGGTGTTAGAAAATAAGAATATTAGATTTAAGAGATTGGCATACAGTATCAGTCAGAGCTGCTCAAACATTGCCAGACACATAATTGTTTCAAGTGCCCAAAAATGCAGCTCTACCACACTGAAAAACAGGACAGCACCTGGCTTCCAGCACAAAGTGAATGAAGGGAAATGCTCTTGCTACAGCAGCTTCCTAAAACGGGAGACTATGAAAAAGCTACTCAAATGTAGTAGCCTGGGTGGCGTGCACATGCTTCCAGCCTCTGGTTGCCCATGCCTCAGGCATCAGCTATTGAACTCCTCAATATTGCCAGTCTCCAAAACAGTAAAGTTCACTGCCGATTCAATTCAATAGATGAACTACAGTCCTTGACATTAGTACAAATCTTAACATTTCTAAGATTTACACTGTTAATACTGTGTGGCTGTGTCTGCCTGTTAGGATAGCTCCAATGTGTCCATAGCATGCTGGAATGAGCACGACWTATTTCTTGAATGCTTCTCCCTGCAGAGTTCCTGGTAAGTTTCCTGTTAGTGTCCTGATCTGCTGCAATCGAAGCTTGAAAAGGAAAAGCACAGGAGAGAAATTTCTACCAGCAATTCATGAAGGAAAGAGGGGGAAAACACTAATACCATAAGGCAGCACTAAAAGTGCCTTTAAAACATACCTCCTAAAGTAAGCAGAGGGAGTGTTCAGTGGGACTCAACCTCTGCAAGAGATGCACAGCAACATGCAACACAAAAAGGCATGGAACCAGGTAAGCTGAGCAACAAGAGCAAGAAAAACATCAAACCACCTGCTAAACAGGAATGTGGTTATCCTGCTGAAAAGAAACAAGCCAGTGTATAACAACACTTCTGACCAAATAAAAGCCATAAGCAGTTTTTCCTCAGGATGCACATTTTGACATAAAGAGTTCAATGGACCTTCTGATTCTCAGTAACAAAAGCTCCGACAGTAAAGAAGACAAAGTCAAGGAATCTTTTGAAGATGTGTCGGTACAAGATGGGTTGACATTTGCAACACTATGATCTACTGTGCTAACAAATGATAAGATCTTTCAACTGTGTTTAAAATAGACATCTGCATTTTAATTCCACTTCGCAACCACTTTTTTTCTGTTGACCAGTAAAAAATTATTTACTCCCTCTACTTCCAAAAAAATGACTGGAGAATGATGGAGCAGTTGGCCACAACAACAGCAGTATTTCTTTGCTGCAGGCCATGGCTGTTCAACACCCAGCTTTCCCATCCATTAAGTAACAGATTGAGCTGCTATGACCCTGCAATAGCTGCATGTGGTATGGAGGCCTTCTGCTTCCCCTCAGGAACATGGCAGGCCAGAACTCAAGCTAAATACACACTCTCCCAGCAACAGCTAATTAAGGTCGTATTGCTCACAAATGTTTGCGTAGACTTATTATTTTGCAGAACTATTATGTGTCATCTCCTACACCACAGTAAATGTGTAATTAATGTATCAACAGATCCTCACAGCACTCTAGAGTAACCACTGCTGTGCAGCCTTCCAAGGCACAGAAACAAAGGCACAAAAAAGATTTGCAGCCAGACACAAATGCCATTTCCCTCCCCTCCCTTCCCTTCTTAATAAAGCAATAGCAATCATAGAATCAGATTTTATGAGCATTTTCCTTCTCTTTGAACATATAAAGTTGGACTGCTAGAAAGTGCTGCAATTCCACAGTCTTTGAACTTCTAAAATGCTATCTGAACCCAGAAGCAGCAATCTACATGCATCTATAATGAATGTAATTAGTGAGAGATAGTTAAGGTTTATCAGACAAAGTGCTCTATCTACAGTAGCTATGGACATTGAACCTTACCATCCCGGACAATGCAGCTAGAGACAATGTGTTGTGTAACCTCATTAGTTAATTCCATCTCATTGTATAATTCCACTTGCTGGTGAACTGCCATAAACAATATGGATAAACAGCTAATAATTTGCTATTTGACAAGACTGTGCACCAGTATCATCAGTATTTGTGATTGAGAATATAATCAAGAGTGGAGTTTACTTAATGAAGACCTAACCATGCAAATTTCACAAATCTTAATAGGCAGCATGCAAAAGGGTACACGCAGGACTTAGATCAACCCAATTCACAAAAATATTGTTTTGAATTAAACTGCCATGCTTAATCATAAGCATGGTATTTTTCTCCTTCTTGCAGGTGCTGTTATGGTCAATACAGTTTCCAAGTACTTTTTGTTCACAATTACCTACCTTTCTTACCTTTCCCATGTGCTATAGGAAACAATTTTTTCTAGTATCTATTAATGGAATTTCTCACTTCATAATAATATTTTAAAGGAAAATAGATAATAGATGATTTCAAATGATTTAATTTTATACCTTCAGGTAGGCCAGCTTTTTGATCACCCCTCCTTTTTTTAATTACAGAAACTACAAAAGCAGATTAAATACAAATTGCCATCTACTGGGAAAAAYGACAATAATGGGATGTGAAAGGTAGTATGACTTGCCAAGACTGCAAAATCTAAGTGTTTCAAAGTTGTCAGAGGTACAAAATGGCAATGTAGAATGTTCTCACAGAAAAAAAATATAATTCATCTCCATGTAGGAAAAAAGCTGAAAAACTTTTAATTTCATTTATATCTAGAGTTGACTAAATTATGAAAACTTCACTCCAAAAGGAAATTTTTCCACAAAGCAAGGAAAACCAGACATAATCATTCACGAGAGACATAATTATTTGTTAAGTCAAACCTTAAAAATGTACTAAGATGATTCTGAACTTTAAGTGTCTATGGTTTTAAAAAAATTAACAATATATTTGCTTTTGTACAGCATCTTGCAAGTATTATAACAAAGAATTGTTACATGTTAACAAAGTCCCAGATATCACTACATATAAGACTGAAAAATCAGCACAGACTTACAACAACAGCTATGAGAAATAGATTTTTTAAAAATTGTTTGGAAAAATGAAGAGCCATGAGGTTAACACTAGCAAAATATTACAAGGAGGAATTATTCATTTACTTTTCATTGCATCTTTATTGCATATAAATGCTACTGCTTCGCTGTCCAGCTTTATCATATGGCATAAATCAAAGCATTAATAAATGCCACGTGGCTTTGAAAATAAGTTATGTATTAGAGCAATGGATTCAGGAATGTACAATATGTACTCTAAAAAGAAATACATTGTCAATTATTAATTCTCTGAAATAGTTTATTGCAGCATAAAAATAGGATAAAACTAGCTCCGAGTATATATTAAAATCCAGTGACTGTTCTTTAAGGATTTTCAAAACAAATTTAAAAAAACATCTTAAGGCAATAAAGAGAGTAAAATGTCCCCTGAGTGTGAAAAACGCTCRAGGAGAATATTACTTTCTTATCTAAAAACCAGAGGAAAAGCATATAAATGACTGACTACAGTCATTGGTATTCTTGAAAGCTTCACTAGTAGTTGGGCATCTGAATATATTAAAGGAACAATATTTGCACCACCTATAAAAATCTTTTTCACCACACAAACTCACTGCTACTAATACCTAGTTCTCTAAACYACCATACCCTTCCTTCTTTCCTGTACTGAAAAGATCATCAAATTTTATCTGCATCATCACAGATTATAAAAAGAAAAATTGAATTGGCTTCTACTCAAGAGCTTCTCTACTAATCAAATATCAGTGATTCTTCAATTTTACTATTGATGTAATAGAAAATGGATAAACTCCTACCCCACATGCACATCATTATGAAAAGAGTTTTCAAGTGAGGAAACTAGTAGCTTCATATTTCCATGCTAAAGCACAGCCCAAAAAATTTCATGGGCATGAGGAAAACACTGGCTAAAAGTGTAGTTAAATTATGCTCAAAACCACAAATATGAAAAATATTCTCAGCTTGAGGAAGGATGTTAGTAGCAGACAGGCTTTGCATTACATCTGCCCCTAGTTCTCTCATTACTTTTACTAAATATTTTTCTATCTCCAGAGCCAGAGAGGTTCTTCAAAAAACTAAACTCATAGTTTTACTTTTATTTCCTTTCTGCTGCTTCACTGCTCTGTTAAGTGACTTTGCTGTTAGTCACTGAACATTCACTAAAGGCAACTGAAACAAGACAAAAAAATACACCCTTTTTTCCCCCCCCCACCTCTCTAACAGGACAACTTGTCAATATGTCACTTACCACCCAGGGTTTGTCACAGAAGTTATAGATGGATTCCAGGGAGTTGACACTGGGGATGCCTGCATACTGCATTCCAATAACCAAGTTGCGGAAGTCTTCATTTTCTGCCATACTGAATGAATGTTGTCGAATAAGGACGAAGTCAGGCCTGAATGATCTAGCAAGAAAAAGATATATTGCTATTAACAATCAAATTCTCATTCTTCAAAGTAAAAATCCTAAAGGGGCAAGATGACTAGCCCTTAAAGACTTAAAAAAGGCACTCAAAACAAAGGTAAACACTGAAAGATAGAAAAAAAGGATTAAGAAATTTATGAAAAACTCTCCATTATTATTTCTTAACCATTGTTCAGAACATACCAGCATATAGAAATGGCTCCATTAAGACAACAAATTATCATAGCTTTTCATTCTGTTTGCCGACTGAAAAATAATTCATTTGTATAAATTCTGAATATGTTCTTAGTTTATTGCTAAGTAAACTCATCTCTAAACAACAGGAAAAGAAACAATGAAGAAGGCAAATGTCTCCAAACTTAAGCAAGTGCTAAGGTCTGGCTTTCATAAAGAACGTTTCTTTTACTGTGCACCTTCAAGAACCATCTGGCTCCATGTTCATCTAACTTAAAAACTAACAGTTAACTGAAGATGGTTATGGAAAAAAGGAGACAGAGCAACGGAATAGAATCTTCAATACGGGGCAGGTCAAAGATTCTCTTCTGTATTGAAATTGTCTAAGTTGGGTTGATAGCCTGAAGCCATCAATCTTCTGAAAAAAGTGAAGAGTAAATTAGTGTAATAAATTAGTATGCAATATTTTCATGCTGTTAACAAAGGAGCTGTATACTGGAACAAAAATTTCAAAGATGATACATAATTTAGAAAACTCTCTGGAAAAACAAGAGCAAAATGATGTTCATCTTTCTCATGCAATTTTGAAGTTTCCAGTCTAGATGTAGTAGGCAAAAAGTATCAGATGTTTTTCAACATAAGCTAGATGATAAAAATTTGCAGGAGTCATTAAATGCCACTGTAGATTGGATGATGAAGTTTTAAAAAAATATTTGCAGTATAGTTTTGGGAACTTGAGGTCTAGGTTTCATAGGGGAGAGACAGATGCATGAAACAAGAAAATTTAATGACAGATGAATATGAGGGTAAAAGAACTAAGGACAACTTAAGAAAGATCCCTCAGTAAAAGAGGGAGACTTCACCTCTATCTTTTAAAAAAGTGCTAAGGGCATTACGGATGATCTCAAACGTGGCACTGTTCTTTAATAAAAGAAAGGGGCAGGAAGTATCCTTTAGAAAGCATATTTAACGAACCAACTGCAAAAAAGGGGAACATTCTTTTAAAAATATACACATACACACACATTCTGCACCACAAAAATTCCTCAAAGGAATGTCATATATTTACATAATTGATAATGTGAATTTTTGTCCTGAAATTACTCCAGGACAAAGTGATTGTGTATAGAGAGGAATACATGAGGAAAACATCTCCCCAAACCTTCCCATTTTTTTAACAAGAGATTTCACTTTCCATGGTCTGACTAGAATTCACACACACAAAAGAAATGAAACAAATATTTGGCCTATCATAATTTTCCAAACTAGAGATATCACAACTATGTCATATAAACGCATACAAATGCATTAACAAATACATTAATGATCTATAGTACAAGGTCACTTCAGACCTCATATTAACACAAGTATCTTTCAGCTCAATATTCTGTTACTTAAGCCTTATTAGTAATATGTTCAGTCCAGAAACAATAGGAATTTTAGTACCAGTAAGACCAAGAGCTCCTCCAGTCTCTCTTGGCAATGAAAAGAGGAAGAAAGAACAGAGCATGCCATACGTCCTATTGTCTTAACCATATTTCAAATTGGCTTTTAAAACAAGTTGCTTACCAACTGAACATGTTAGTAATGTCCTTCAGTAGCTCTGCTTCCCTTAGTGACACAAGAAGCATAGGCAATAAGCTTCACAAACTAACTAGGCTCAAAGCAAAATAAAGATTAGCGCTTATCTGAAGACGAGGACACTTTTGAAAAATACTTTCACTTTTCAAAACTGTTCTAGATATTCAGATAAGATACTTCACAGACAAGGAGAGAACTGCTGTCCCCTTTTGTCTGCATATCCTTCTCAAAGCAGACAGCATGCATATGCAAATAACTCACAGATATRAAATTGTTGAATTTCAGGTAGTTCTATTTGGTTAAGTATATTGATATCATTCATATTATTGGAAATAACAAAACCTTTGCTAACTCACTATCAGAGTTGCTTCTCGGCAAAATCAGATTTTTATTTCTTAAACATAAACAGCGGCTTTAACAATTTTTTTCATAAATGGCTAAGATAGGTCCTTTTAGATGTTCTTTTCTYGAGGTTTCTGACATCAAAACATTTGACTAGAGTTAATTGAGCATCAATATTTTGTTTTGGAAAATTCTCTACAGAAAAGTTATTAAACAAGCAGTGATCAAATTTCCTAAATCTAAAACTTCATATGTTGAGAAAAACTGGAATCTCATATGCTACTAAAAAAGAAACACGTGGACTTGGCTGCTATATTAAAATGCAGTATTTTTAGAACACAAAAGATGAAACACTTAAGTTTTCAAACATAATACACTAAGTATGTTTCTTCCTGATCTTTCATATATACCAATGGAAAATTTAACATCTTTTAATAGAACAGATTTGAGCAAAATCATTAAGTTACAAGAACTGCCACATGTTGGCGAGCTCCCTGAACCTTAACTCTTCTCTAGATAAGACAAACATAAACAGTAAAATACCAAGTCACTGTTAGGGCCTCCATTCACCTCTCTGAATACAATTAGTCAGCCAAAAAAAGCACTACACTTAAGCTATACTTAACTGCACTAACAAAAATAGAAACAATTCCCATAAAGCATAGGACTACCTGAAATATTCTAATACTTACTCAAGCTTTTACTTTGCCCAGATGTACTTCTGTTTTCTTCCCTTATATTTATAGGGCTGTTCATGTCCTCGCTGAAAAAAATGGTAAAAATTACCCTGCCTTCAGTTAGAATAATCCTTATTTGGATAAAACAACCCACTGGGGAATCTCAAGCTTTTAAATTGAAAACTTTCAATCACATAGCAGATTGCAGTAACAACACTGAGATAAGCAGTATCACTCAGTCTCTTTCATTAAAAAATACTTAATTCAGATATTCCTTATTTAGAAAGCTCCAGCATATAGAAAACGCACCAAGATTGCCACAGCTTCAAAACAAAGACGAGGTTGAAATCAGTAAACCATGACTCCCAATCATGTAATCTTTTTACCAAGCCTCATTCACATTTTAATGAAATATATCTTCTCTAATGATCATGTCTAGAGACTGCTTGTCACAAACAGGACTTACTGCACAGATGAGATACTTACTCTTTTATGCCAGCAGCTGTAGTGCACTGCATCAGAAAAAAAATCACATGTTCAACAACATAACTAAACAGAAACCATTCAGTACATTTTAAAACCACACATTATACCATCTACTTTTTTTTAATTGTTATTCTGCTTAGTTTTTCTTACCTGACAACTTTAGTGCCATTTCGAAATACTTGGATATCTACTGCATAATTGCCATCAGCATGGGCTATCAAGTTGATTTCTGAAAATTCTGCCTACAAAAAGAGGACTCACATAAATCAACCTGAATGACATCTTTATTAACCTCAACATCTTTTAAGTCTCAATATCTGAATTGTTAACAATATATATTTGAAATAATTAGCACCAAAAGCAAATTAATCCACTGCTATCTGGCATACATGAAGCATCACGTTTGCAACAACTCTAACACACAGAAAGGTTATATTTTTAAGAAAAGAAAGCATGGGGAGAGTAATAATAATATTTCTTCTTTCATGACTACATAAAAGGATAGAGATTAACCTTTGCCTTCTGCAGTTTGTCACTGGAGAAAAACCACAGACCCAAAAAATAACATCTTAAGACTCAAAGTATTACAGAAGTGATTTTAGGGTAACTGCTGATAAAGTATTTTCTTTTGCTGTGGTAAATGTGTTTTCTCACCTTCTCTTCACATACCTTCCCCATTTATATTTTTTGTTCAATTTTTTTTTAATAATCTTGTGCTACAGAACGATTAATTTGCAAAATTAACCAATAGAGGTTTATTGTTGTTGTTTGTTTTGTTTTTAATTATCTTCATAGTGGAAGTGACATGTAAAAAGGATTCAACTCCATACCCTGATCCTTCAGTTATTTGATAAAAAAGGATAGGATGTTTTTCACTTATTGATACTCTTCCATTTAGTTAGACTCTAAAAGTATTTTACAATAACATAACACAACAGAAAACTTGAAATGCAGCCAACTGTTCTCTTGTAGGTAAGAGGCTTTCCTGGAACAAACACTGATGTAGAATAAAAATCAGAATTCTCCCCACTTTCCTGTTGCAAAATGATGTCACTGAAAATCTTGAAGTAAAATCTATGCAAAATTTTCAAAATTTAGGGTTCAGTTAAGGCAAGTGTCGACTGCTCTAACCCACTCTTCCAGTATGGGCTTGAAATTCTAACTTTGTGGTAGCTTTGTTAAATGTCATATAGTTTCTTGGATCAATGTTAAAATGCAGTGTGCACAGCTTTACMAAGAATATAGATTAAAAATATAAAAATCAAAATCAAAGGAATTAAATGTCCGAATAAATGCTGACAATTACAGAATGCTTCATTAACTTAACTGCACACCAACTACTGATCTCTAATTCTGGTCTTATTCATATATTTTAAAAAACATTAAAGACACTGTGTGATGTCAGCTATGYGGTGCGTATCAACTATGTGTTTTGATATATTGATTACACCAATATATGTAAACAGTATTTCAGAGTCCAGACAGCTTGCATCTCTCTTCACCTTTCTCACTCAATACTCTTGAAATCTGCACAGCTTTCCATGTTTCTAAATCCAAAACTTTAGAAAGACATTTGGTGGTATACAAAGAAGGGAACATAACAACATAAACTAAATATTATATTATTGCAATGAATAGAGACAAACTGGATCCACATTTAATGACAATTTTCACTCATTCTTAGAAATACAAGAGCTAAAGCATTCCAGTATAAGTAACGAAGCCTACAATTGCATGTATTCTTAGAATTAAAAATTGAAAGCAGTCCAAAGACTACTTTATTGCCTTAGTTTCAGAAAGCTAAAATGTATGTTATGATTTCTAATGAACTCAAAATTCTATCTCCAAGCTTACTCAGTGCTAACAAAAAAATACTGACCTTACAACCAGAATATAAATATATTTTTCAATAATTACCAGAGATACAGAAATGCAATGTAATTCATGGCTTTCTTAGGAAATCCATAGTCTATAAGCAATAACTTTTGAATATTACATATTTTCATGTTGCACAAACTTTGAGTGCCCTCAAAGAATTCAAATGAAAATGAAAAACAATAACCAAACCTTTTAAGTATACAGGATTCTGTCAGACACATACACACTTATATAACATTAATACTACATCATTTAGTTACCTGTTCCACCTTTATGTCGTATTCTCCATGAACCTTCTTTCCACGAAAAGCTTTGGCCCTGAAGGAAAAAAGCAGAGAGAAAAATCAAGGATGTATATCAAATTAGTAACTAGAATAAGCCTTCTTGTGCACCTGTGTCTGCAGAATACACACATATACCAGATGAATCTATGCATGCAGAGGTACTACAGGCCGAAGTCACCAAATTTATGAGTGCTCTATTTAAAGATATTGCCAATCTGTCAAAACTAAAATATCGTTCACATTTCATCTCTCAAAAGGCTCATGTGTCTTATGACACCATATAGCCCTATACTACTTTACTAACCTATTTGCTTTTTCTAGGCTAAATCTTAAGACAACTTAATTACAATAACTATTTATCAACTACATCATGTGATTACTGCGATAGAACAGCAATTCAAGAATCATTCTCACAGGCCTGATAGATGTTGTCTTAAGAAACAGTTCTATATGTCTGCTTTGGATTTGAACGGAAATTCTAACTACGCGTAACTAGAGATGAAAGACTCTGAAATCACTATTTTACTACAGCAGACTCATACTCAAGACAATATGATTATATACTTTCTCCTACCCTGTAAGCAAAAGTTAAATATACTTATTACAGTTTTAACTTAGACACTACTGATCACTTGGTTCTGATTTTGTTCCGAAACTACCTACAGAGATTATGCAATCATTCACCATAACATGACATTATACTATATATATATATATATGTTATACAACAGCATGAAATTACCATATTCATCATGGGAACATGATGAATTCCCAGGGTTTTTTGTTGTTTTTTTATGCAAAACAGCTGGGGTAAATATGCTACTGGGCATCACATCAAGTAAATTTATTTGATTTAAAGGAAGAGTGAAGGCTCCATAATCTAAAAACGTTACAGCTGACTCTCAGATACTACCCAAATCTTTTTCCTCTGTAAGCTGAGTTTCTTGAATGATGAATGCTTAAACTTGACCATAGCTAGAGACTAAGCTTCCCACATTGCTTATCCTAACAAACAAACCCAACTGAGCATTTCTTCACAGAAGGAAATGCAACTAGGAAGTCACAAAAAGCCAAAGAGACATTACAGTCTTTATATTTAAGTCTGTTACACACATTGGAGCATGCTTGAAACATTAAAGTGAAACGTTATCCCTTTAACCATACTTTATTTATACACTGTCTGGATGATGCAACTTCTAAATAACATACCATCTGGCTTATCTTAAAATATCATGACTAATTTATGTTTCTTCAGGATTTTATCTGGACTATTATGCTGCACCCCCTGTATTATCTTGGGAATAACGAAGCAGAAAAGGAGAATATACACACAACACTTTGGGACACCTCACATTTCCCTTATACGCCTCTATTCTGAAGACTATTTGCCATCAAGGCATTATAAACCATAACTGTAAAAAGTATCATTCTTTTTATCTGTGATCTGCTTTGCTAGCATTTTGCATGTCCTTGTAGGGATAAATGAAGTGTAAACACAAAGAACTGGTCACAGAAGCACGCAGGACACTGAACATGTCACAGTATTTTCCCCATGGTGAAACAAATACTCTTTCATGAGACAGTCTGCCTTTGTGTCTTGAAATACCACACCTCAGATTAAGCAATATTTTACATTTGTCACTACTGTGCAAGATTTATAGTCAGTATGTAATTTGTTTTCTGGTTATTTTGCACATTAGATGACAAATAAACTATTTTAAAACTCGCTCTCCACTGGAAAACCTCATATTTAATGCAACATACTACAAGCTATTCCAAATCTGCTAGACTCATTAGAATAAACAACTACTGCGCTTTCCCATGGCTAGGTTCATAAAAATATTTGGTACTTGAAATGAACAAAAAGTCCCAACTTGTACACAGAAAAATATCACTAGCCAATTTATGAAATATTACTGCTTTGAATATTGCCAAACATTTTAATGGCTTAGAGCTAGAAGACCTGAACTACACATTCTCCCCCAGCTGCTCTATTTTCTTCAGTATTACATGCTATAGTTGATGCAAAACAACACTGCAGGATAAAGCAGCAGTTAAATTGTTGCTAAGCCTCCATACTACCCAAATAATATGTTCTTTCCAATTGCTTATTCTGTTTACAGAGATGAGATAGCTTAGTAAAACAAACTGCTAAATAAAAACTGCACTGCATTAAAAAATATGCAGTGGCAGAACCAGTATCAAATGATATTGCCATAGGTGATAAATTCATGATAGGAAAGATCTAGAAATAGCATCCTGGAATATTTTATTTTGCATTTTTGTATTGACAAACAAAGCAAGCTCTGGAAAGCTTTACAAAAACAGAAAATAACTTGGTCTATCAATTTGAAAACCTACAGGAGCCCACCTGGAGTAAAAAAAGTCTGAGAATAAAACCACAGCATTAGGTAAATTAATTAGCAACTTCCTTTTTGTATTAAAGAATGGTATATGTTGTAATGGCTTTTGCTGCCCTCTTCTGTAGAAATACCTACCTGGCTAAAAAGCATGTTTCCAGTTACAGATAATTACTGACCAATCCTTATCTCTTTAAGTATCTTTAGAGTAGCTGCAATACTATTTTACTCCCCCTCCCTCTTTGAGAAAACCAGCAGGGACCAGGCAGCAGGCACAGGCAGGTGCTGGCAGAAACTAGTGGCAGGACTTCCATTACTGAGAAGTTAAGCACATGCTTGTGCTAGATGATTAATACGACAAATTATGTATAGTAGAGACCTAATTTTTAAGTAGGTGTAATACAAAAAGCATAGTAAAGGCAATAGTAGTAATGTTCTCTACACTTGTAGCATGAACTTGGTAAAAACCTACAAATAACTAATTATCACTAACAAATTACTAGTAAACACCAACGATTTTCGTATTTCTTATTTCAATTTCAGTCCCTGAGAAAAATCCTCGCTAGGCATGTTTCTCACATATGCATGTATACAAATACACTCAGTTTGCTTAGGCTTTATGACAGTCTCCTCTGACTATACAAGACTCCCAGTTGGAGAGTAGCTTCCAATATTATTTTCCATAGGAAAAAAGCAACCCATATATGAGCTAAGTAAAAGTAGGAAAAAAAAGATAAAGCTAGTGGTACTGGTACACCAGTACACTGGTACACAAATGTATCACAAATCTCAAGTGTGTTGTGACAAAGGGGGATTAGAAAATTGACCTATATGACAATAAGGTTAATCAAAGTACTGTAGGACAGCTGTGGGGTTTTTTAGGCAGCTATCCAAGTTCTTCTTTAGCTTATGGCACACCTAAAAAGGAGCTAAATAAGTGTATTTATCTTCAAGTCTAATACAACAATTTTGATTGAACTATGTATTGCGTTAACATAAAATCCCACAATGGTTCACATTCTCCTCATGTTTGTTCAAAATAAGCAATTTGAGTTTTTAATGAACACTGGAATCAAGCAAGTTCCAAAGCTTCAAGTATGTGCTATACAACTGCCCAGGCTACTTYATGCTAGGTCTGCATTACACTTGGATACACCACCTTCAGCTCTGCAAGCCAAGCAATATGTAATAATATGCTGTACCTTAAACTGGAGATTTTAAAAATTGTGCTGCATGGCCAGAAGCAGCCAGAGCCCTTGCTGCTGGCAGCATTTTATAGCTGGGAGCAGCAGAGGCAGCTGCTGAACAGGAAACTTAGTGCAGCAGCTCCTTCCTTCCCAGCTGAATACTGCTTTTTTGCTCAGCTAGATGTAGTTAGCTATCATATAATTATGAGTGTAACTGCCAAAATAAGGTAGCCTAGCAGACATGAAACAACTATAGACAAATAAGCAATTTTTTTTGTCATTAGAGCACAGCCAAGGTAGTAATTTCATAACTGAATGCTCCTTGTTTAATGGACTAATTCTGCTGCCTGTGAGAGAGCAGGACCTGTTTCCTCATGAACAAAATGACAAAGATTGTACCAGGTTCTAAGAAACTTTTAACTGTAAGACTGCTTTAAATCTAGCTGGCAACATACAACATGCTAGTAAACAATGCCCAAGAGATGAACCAAACCCAGGCCTCAATCATTTTGTGAGCTACACCCAGCCACTTGGGTCTCTAATGGGAAGTGGCTTGAGCTGCTAGTCACCTCTCCACTAATGGATCCTTGGGCAACCACAAGTTGCAGTTCATGGCACAGATTCATCTGGATGGAAGTTGCTATAGAAAAAGAGTACTTTTCCCATGAAGATTCTGCCATTTGGCAAAGATATAAATAGAAGGCATGTGTAAGCCCTTCGTTACGTAACGTCCAAAATCTGCAACTAGTTACTGGTAAATATTTTTGCCAGTGAACTTATGACTCTGAGCAGGGATGATCATCTTGGTGAGTAAACAAAACATGAACTAACAACAGCATTCAGAGTGAGAATATTTTCTTGATTATTCCACAAGAAGGTCCATCGGGAAAAATTCAGAATGTGTTGAAAACCTTTCAGACTCAGAGACCACTATAGATGCAGCACATCTATACTGCAAGCTTAACTTTAAGAAGTGAAGCTTCTTTCATGAAGTTTGTTACTACATCAACTCGCATTAGGCTATAGTTATATTAGTCATTGCTTTGAGACCGTTTTTACATCAAATTGCTACACAATGCCAACATGCCAGTTTTTTTTTTTTTATATAAAGTTTTCAATTGTGAGCTAGGAAAGGACAGAAGAAAACAAGAAACAGCAAGTTCACAATAGCTCCATAAAACAAGAATTCTAGAATTTGCAGAAGCAGCTATTAATTTTTTAAAGGTAATCTAAAAAAATGTTGACTGTGTCTCAAGTCACTATTTTCTACCTCTGGTCMTTCTTATACCACATTAGGGATACATTCTTGTCCTCTATTTTCTGTAAGGCAATCACAATCTGGTGAGCATTACACTCAGTGACTTTAAGCTACTCTAATCCAAGCTCTTCCTTTCTCACAAGCTGCAGGCCACACAGCAGTGCCCCAGCCCCACACAGCCCTCAACACTGTGGCATTACAAACAGCATGTTTATTCCTCCTTTAACTG